CCAGCTGTCTTGCTCAAGGTCACCCAGTTAATACGTAACAGAACCAGGACTAGGACCCAGGAGTCCTGACGCCTTGTCCCTCTGCCGTCCCCACTGGAGCCCATGCTTTCCTATCGCCTGGCCCAGAACCCACCAGCCAGGACCCCCCAGGCTCTAACCACTAGATTCTAGAGTTTAAAGGCAGAAGAGACGCCCAGACTTCCTGTAGTTCACTGGCTTTCATCCCCACCCAGCCCTGCACAGCAACCCAGCCACAGAAACGACCCAACTCTCAGGACACAGCTGCTCTGTGCCACAGGCAGAGCACACAGGGCTGAGGTGCCCAAGGCCCCTGCAGAGACACCCAGACACCCTGGCAAGTGACCCGAACCTCTCTCAGTGCAGATGGAGATGAAACTCTCCTCACTGTTGATCTGAACTGGGGCAAAATTCCTCCCAGACCCACACTGGGTTAGTCCCTGGTCCACCCAAGCAACTAGCTAGAGGCCACCTCAGCATCCTGGCTCTCCCCATCCAGTGACCCGTCCCGGCTGTGGCTGCCCCTGAGGCTTCCGAGGAAGGAGATTAAATAAACTCTGCCAACAGCCCAGCATGCACTGGGGTGGCGGGGAGGGGAAGGGACTGAAGGAAAACCAGAAGTGCTCCACCCAGCTGCTGGGCCCTGCCCCCACCTGGGCTCACATCACACTCACGCTTTCCCTTTGCTCATGGACACTTGTTTCTGGGCGGGTCAGCTCTGCCCCTGAGGCTTCCGAGGAAGGAGATTAAATAAACTCTGCCAACAGCCCAGCATGCACTGGGGTGGCGGGGAGGGGAAGGGACTGAAGGAAAACCAGAAGTGCTCCACCCAGCTGCTGGGCCCTGCCCCCACCTGGGCTCACATCACACTCACGCTTTCCCTTTGCTCATGGACACTTGTTTCTGGGCGGGTCAGCTCTGGGCGGGGGGGCTTTGGCTCTCACACCACCCTGCCAATGAATTTATCCCAGCTCCCAGAACA